CCTGCTGCCTTGGCCTCCTGAGTTGTTGGAATTACAGGCATGAGCCACTTGTGTTCGGCCTCTGGGGGCTTTTTGTCATATGTCTTAGGATGGGAGCACTGTTGGCATTGACTAGGTTGGGGATGGGTTAAGTCAGGGATGATAAACATTCTCCAACGTGCAAAAGGGCCCTGCACAACAAAGAAACGTCCCGCCTGAAGTACAAGAGTGCTGCACTGGATGAGCAGCCCAGGGCTAGCTCCCCTTGTTTCCGTGTGGCCACCCCTCAGCTTGGGTGAGCACGAGCCTCAGCTCTGCCAATGAGAGCATTCTACTTCCGACCTCTGTGCTTGGATCTAGGGTGACCACATGACCACGTCTGACCAACCAGAGTACTTCTCCTCTCTGGCTGCAGACATTGGCTTAGGAATGAGCATGTGACCTAGTCCCAGCCAATAAGAGTCAGACCTGGCAGTTTGTTGCAGCTGCTGGCAAGGCTCGGGTTTCCACCTGGGTCTCTAAACCGGGAACTCAGACTAGACCAGGGCTTGGCAATCTTCGGTGCTGTCTGCTTTTGTAAATCAAGTTTCATTGGAACACAGCCATATCCATTTGTTTTGTGTTGAATATGACTGCTTTTGCACTACAGTGGCACAACTGAACAGGCGTGACAGGGGGTGCCTGGCCCTCAAAGCCTAAAATCTTCATGATCTGGGTCCGTACAGATAATGTTTGCCTCCTGCTGGCCCTGAGGTGCCGGCAAACATTGTGCCATGACTGGATGAGAAGCAAAAGCAGGTGGGGGCATTGACCAGAAGTTGAGTTGCAGATGGGATCAGGCTTTTTTTTTTTTTTTCTCTTTTTTTAGACGGAGTTTTGCTCTTGCTGCCCAGGCTGAAGCGTGATGGCACGATCCCGGCTCACCGCAACCTCTGCCTCCCGGGTTCAAGTGATTCTCCTACCTCAGCCTCCCGAGTAGTTGGGATTACAGGCATGGGCCACCACGCCCGGTTAATTTTTGTACTTTTAGTAAAGACGGGGTTTTTCCATGTTAGGTTGGTCTTGAACTCCCAACCTCAGGTGATCCGCCTGCCTCGGCCTCCCAAAGTGCTGGGATTACAGCCGTGAGCCACGGCGCCCGGTCGGAGGCTGAAGTTTAAGATGGTCAAGAGAAGGTGCTTGTGATGGGGTGGCAATGAGAGGAGCTGGCAGAGAAGGCGGGGGCCATAGGGCATTTCAGGAAGTCGGCCTTGCAGGATGAGACTGGGACCCCATCTAATTCCCTGGGGTAAGTGTCAGGAGGTGCGGAGGCAGGAGAGGGGAAAGGCTGGTGTGACAGTCGGGGGTAGGCCTAAGCACTCACCTTGTGACCTCAGGTCCCCCGATTCTCTCAGGTTCGTCTGCGACCCTAGGGGAGGGGAGGGGGACAGAGTGTCTAATCTGGACATAGGGAACCCACCTCCCCCAACCCACTGCCTCTGGGATTCTGAGCAGCCCCTGCCTCAACCCCAGTCCCTCCGGGCTGGCTGGCGAGGGCCCGGAGTCAGGATTTGATCTCCCTGTCCATCCCCATAATGGGGCTCATTCTGAAATGGGTTAGTGCAGGTCACAGGAAAGATACTGAAGAATGTGGAAGATGAAAGGGAGAGGAGTGGGCAGAGACACACCCTTATATAGAAAAGTGGCCAGAAAGAGAGAGAGGCGCACACACACACTCACATATACAATCATGCTTTGCTCAAACAACACCTTTGTGAGACCTGCCCTTTTTTCTTTTTTTGAGACAGAGTCTTACTCTGACATGCAGGAGTGGCGTGATCTCAGCTGGCTGCAGCCTCAATCTCCCGGGTTCAAGCAATCTTCCTGCCTTGGCCCCTGAAGTAGCTGGGACTATAGGTGCGTGCCACAAAATTTTTTTTTTTTTTGGTAGAGATGGGGCTTTGCCACATTGCCCAGGCTGGTCTCAAATTCCTGGACGCAAGCGATCCGTCCAAAGTGCTGGGATTACTGGCCTGAGCCACCTCATCCAAAGGCCTGCCCATTTAATGCTGCACCCCTCCCTTCCCCACACCTGTCATTCTCCTAACTGTTCGATTTTTTTTTTTTTTTTCCAGAGACAAGGTCTTCCTCTGTTGCCAAGACTGATGATCATAGCTCACAGTAGCCTCGACCTCCTGGGTTCAAGTGATCCTCCTGCCTCCCAAGTCCATGGGACTACAGGTGTAGTCGCCATGCCCGGCCAATTATTTATTTTTTGTAGAGATAGGACCTTGCTATGTTGTCCAGGCTGGTCTTGAACTCCTGGGCTCAAGTGATCCACTCGCCTCAGCCTCCCAAAGTGCTGTGATTCCAGGCATGAGCCACCAAATGTGGCTTCTATTCTATTTTTCTTCTTCGTTACTTCACACTACCTAGACGTCTATATAATATATAAGTATATTTTACTGATTTCTTTTTTTGTCTAGATCCCTTGATAGAATGTTGGCTCTGCCAGGGCAGAAGTTTTATACCTTTTGCTCACCCCCTACTACAGGGCCTAGGACAGTGCCAGGCACACAGTAAGGACTCAATGAATAATAGCAATTAGTAACTAATACACATGTAAAGCACTTTCCAAGGCAAGGTTCTAA